TAGTGGAACATGAGCCCTAAATTCCTGCTTAGGCCTCCCTGCAGTCCAGTGGGTATTATGGTTTGGAAAAGGCAAATGAGGAGGTATCCAAAGAGGGATGACTCCCTGGCCTGTAGTGACTATTCTGGTCTCTGGGGTAGTTTAAGTGATACACATGTTACAGCTAGAGAAACAGCCAAGTGGACACCTATGGGCCTACCACACATTCCCAGGTTAGTGAACTGCTTGTGAGCAGAAAAAGGGATCTGCCACATGGTTTTACATACCAACACTTGACCTGATTTGCCTTCTATTAGGAGCAGCTAACCCTCACCTCCAGTAAGAAGGCTAGGACTCCCTGTTCTCCTTAGAATTCCAGACATTGAGATGACTTGATTCATCTCCACTGATAGTACAGATTTAGGAAAAGATGCATGAGGCACGCTATCTTTGTTAGCTGTACCAAGGTATACACAACTGGGTGTACTAATTAGGTGCTGTTGTAGAATGCTGTTTTAGTATAACAGCCGTTACCATCTTCATCAGAGCAAAGTGGCTTTGTAAGCAGCCCTCAGGATCAGGCTGGTTGACATTCCCTCACAGAAGAAGGTAGTGAGGGTTACGAGAACTTCACCTGAGATTCCAGCTGTTGCTCCCCTATACCTTTCTCTCAGGTGTATGCACATTTCTGCCCAAGCTACAGGTGGTCTCCTGATCTTAGGATGTGAGAGTATGCAGAGTGTGGAAGACTAACTAAAGGGGTGGGGGACTCCATTTATGCAGCTATGGGGGAGTTATCTATGTGGGGTTGAGACTTTCTGATGATGTGGATGCTTTGAGGTCACCCACACTCTTGTAAATAACCCCCATTGGCTCTAGAAATAAGCCAATAAACTCAGTAGTTCAACCAGTTGGACTCTGGTGAACTCTTCAGTCTGTAGTTGGTGCCCTATCTGGGGGAAGTAGATGGTTTTGCATCTCCCCAGGAAAAAAAATCATGCAACACGTGCTTTATTCTGTTAAGTACATTTCAAATATAATTCTCCTGATTGAAAATATGTTTAGAAAGTCAAAAATAGATGTTTGGGGGTTATCATCCAATGTTGACTGACATTCATTCCCCACTTCCTTTTCCTAAGAGACCCGGATTTTTTCATCCTGGTAACCTGCATGAAATTTATCTTACGACCTTATATACGGGAGGCTCTGACTAGCTTGATTGCCTTCTCCCCAACAGAGCAGTTGGTTCAAGGATGGACATCTGACCACAGTCTGGCCAACCAAAGCCAATGAGATTCAATTAGGGAGTTTTAGATTTGGGTAAACTAGTGGAGATGCAACGTCCTTGTCTAGCAAGTATGAAGCCACAGAAACTTCTAGAAGCTATTTTGGGACTGGCAGAGGAGGGCCTGCCTGGGAATAGAGCCACTAAGCACCAAGATGGCAGAGATGTAGAAGGTGGAGGGAGAAACTGTTCTTGTTCCAGAGTTTGAGCTCTGGATGGAGCCTCTTTCTGGAAACCCCCTACATGAATCAGCAAGTTTGCTTATCTGAGCCAGATGAGCTTAGGGTTTTCTATTTACTTGCAACCCAAATAAGATGAAACTTCATATTATAAAATGACAACACTTGCAGTTTCATTTTCATAATGATGTTAGATAAAGAACCACAAAATATTGGCCATCGTCCTCAACCAGAGAGGTCTACAGAGAGGAAGTTAGCTGTTTCTTCCATTTCCTAGCTTCCTACCCCTTAACTATTGAAGGGCCTACTTGGTAAATCCTGTCTGGCTGAAGCCAAGTACATTGAAGTCTCTATTTGTTTTGCAAGAAAGCACCGAGAATCCCGCATGTCAAGTTGAAGCTGCTCTGAGAATGTTAGTAACTTAAGTTCGCCTTTCCTTGTCTACGGAATATGCAGCACGACCTTTTAAATAACCACGAATATCTGCTCTTTTCTAATCTATAAAAGAAAACACAATTAAGCATAGTTCTTCACCTGCTGGGTGAAACTTGGGCAGGTCTATCAATGCCATCTAGAACTGCATAAGTGTTCTCTTAGGACTTGGAGGCCACCTTTGAATTCTGTTTTTGGCAGTACTGGAGATTGAATCTAGGGTGTCATGAATATGAGGCAGGAACTCTACAACTGAGGCCCAGCCCTCACTTTTGAATCCTTTCTGTGTTACCACAGAGAAAGTATTTATTTTATTCTTATTTTTAGTTATGTGTATATCTCTGGGGTGGGGGTGTGTATACATGAGTACAGGTGCCCATAGAAGCCAGAGGGGGGTGTCAGATCCTTTGGAGTAGGAGTTAAAGGTGGTTGTGAACCACCCAATAAGCAGCAACTGTTAACTACTGAGGCACCAGTCCAACCCAGAGTAAATATTTTAAATGTCCATTTATAGTGCTGAAACTAACACAGCTGTTTTTTATCTGATTAAATCCAACTTTGCATGTATCTGGGGGGTATTACACTGAGGTGTTATCCCTCTCTCCATACCTCTTCCCTGGCTATGCTGGGGAGCTGGGCAGCCATACCCTGTCTTGTCCCAATCATTCAACAGTTTCGTTTCCCAAAGTCTGCAAAACCCACTGTGCTGGGTGCTGGGCCCTTGAGAGAACTAGCCCCACAAAGATTGCTTTGACTGTGCTTACCCCTCCCCCTGCCCTCTGTGGCCCAGCCCAAGTACAAATTGTTAACAATGTCCATGGTGTCATTGATTCCTTGGAATTCCTTCCCCACCCCACCCCCACCCCCCAGCTATAAAGGCATGGAGAACTGTGCTTGGCTGCCTTCCCCAGTTGGGGGAAGGTGGCCTGCCTCCCTTGTTGACTAGATTGTTGCAGAGACTTGGGGTGGGTAGTTCTACAGATCCAAAGTCCAGGTAGCCTGTAAGTACCAGGCATGTGGCCAGGCTGGCAGCACCTAATGTCATAGGCGTTCTGTGGATGGACCTCAGTGAACAGGATAGTTGGGAAGACCTACTGTACAAGGCCTGACCATCAAAACATATGCACAGATGAATTAATCACAGAACACCTGGCACCTCTGCCATTCAGTTCAGGTCTCTGCTGTTTCAGTGGGATACAGAGCCCTCAGAATGCCATTCAGGGCCCAGGGTAACATGGCAAGGCCTGAGACAATGCTCACGTTGGACTAACACTATTCAGTTCAAGAGCATTTAGACTTCAATATTGGAAGGGTCAATTTGTGAAGTCCACAGCATGAATGCCGTGATTCCTAAATTACCAGGTATTGCTTCCCAAAGGCGGGGAGGGGGGCATACATTTTCTTTCTTTAATCGTCCAGTTTGTGGTTCCAGGTGTAGTTGGCTCAGCCTGTAACTTCTGAGTTATGGAGGCAGGGGCAGGAGGATTGCAGTGAGTTTGAGGTCAGCCTGGGCCACAGAGTGAGTGAAACCGTGTCTCAAACAAACAATGAATTAACATGGTTTTACAACTGTTGCACAGAATAGCTGGATTTGTGCAGCAGGCCTTTAGTGTCAGCTATTGGGAGGCCATGGCAGGAGAATAGAGCCCAGGAGTTCCAGACAAGCCTGGGCAACATAAGGAGAGCCTGTCAAGACAGAAGAAAAAATGTAAATGAATATTAGATATGGAGTTAGATCTTGTAAAGAGTGGCACAAATTAAGTAAAAGTAACATGATGAATATAAGTTATGTTTTATTTTTTGTGATAATTTATACTAATCCCATGATAATGCTAGATATATTTAGAACTCAGAGGCCCTGCTTAAATCTATTACCTCAATGTTTAAAAGCCATTCAGGATGGAAGTTTCTTCCATTTGAAATCAATGAACTCTAAGAACTACAACACAGAAAACATGGTCCAACTTGGCATTAAAATTAGACTAACACAATGTTAGTTTTAACAGTATATTTAACGACTTTGCTAACGTAAAGGAGAAAATATGGAAAAAATCCATAAACACACTTCCTGTTGTCTCCTAATGATACATGCAGGCACCACCAGCCCTCCGGAAGTGGGACTGCAGTGGTGGGTGATTAAATTATCACCTTTGACATTTTGCTGACATTTGCTTACATAAAAACCACAGGTTCTCTGTTTCACTGGCATCAAAGTATAGTCATCAGAATGCGAACAGAACACACCTTAACAGCTTAATGCTTATCTTTTAAATATTTAGCTGTATGGCATATGGGCCTCGGTTTCTCCACTGCTCAAATGTTGGTGGCAGGCCCTAGGGGGTGGTCCTGGGATCTGGGTGCTGGAGCGTCCCAGGTGCCGAGGCCACGCCCCCGCCACCCACCTGCTCAGGGATTGGCTGCCTGGGGCCTAGTGGGCGGCCCCAGGTCGAAATGAAGTTGAGGGTGGTGGGCGCTGAACTCCCGGGATTTCAGACCCTCGTGGTCCTAGCCACAGTCGCCTAGGTGTCCAGCCGCGCTCTGCTCTGTCGCAGCGGACCAGGAGTTCGAGGTCCCCCGGTCAAGCCCTCCTGCCCTCCCAGCGCATCCCGGGTTGTCCCCGCGCCCGGGTCCGGCCCTATCGAAGAGAGCTGGGCCTCCGGGCCTCGCGTGGGTGGCAGCAGCCTGGGCGCGCTTGGCCCGGCGAGGCAGGGCTAGGGGCGCGGTGCTGGGGACCCGGGCCAGGAGGGGGCCCTGCAGGGAGCGAAGGCGGCTCGGGGACCCGCGGGCTGCAGACACCCGGAGCCCGCTCCGGGGATCGGTCGCGGGCCTGCTGCTGAGTAATCCGGGGCGGCGGGCGTCTGCGGCCGGCGCCCACGTCCCCCCGCGCCGCAGCCAGGCGGCTCCG